GGAAACATGTCATAGGGGTCAGGAAATGAATGTTTGGCTTCCTTCCATCTTCCGAGCCCTTCTGGCACTATTGTTTCTTGTAACCTCCAGGGCATTAAGGTGGAAAAAAAATCCATTGCGAGCAATGTTGGGTTTTGTGAAGTCAGTGAATGCTTGACACACATTTCCAAAGGCCAGGATTCATGGGCTAGGTATCGATTTATTGTGGGGAAACAGATTTTATGCAATGTTGAGTCCATGGCAATGAAAAGTACATTGAGGCAATCTTTGGTTGTAGAGGTTTTACAAGAATGCTTTGTATGTTTGTCGATCCAGGACTAGTTGTGTAAACATCAAGTATCATTCCTTTCCTGAGATTCACAGCAATTATCAACTGACTAGAGAAGTGCATTTTGGGAAAAGAATTCCAGCAATCAATTATTTCTTTTTAAAGTGACTTTAAAATCAATCAGAATTCTTTTACAAATATGCCTTGTATGCACAGTGTTCTGGCGAGTTTGGGGGATAGGGGTTGTCTCTGTGTGTTTTTGTGTTTGTGTGTTGGGCTTTTTCATTTTTTACAAACAACGTGTATCAATCTTTTAAGAAGCAGACAAGTAAACAAAATGAATTTTCATTTGTGTTATTTCATTAGTGTCATATGGCATTACAACCTATTATTGACTTCTCTGAGAATATTTTTACCCAAGGAGCCACAGTTTAACATGCACAAATCAAGATCAATATTGGTTATGCATTCATTTTTGCAAAAATGCTATGAGGCAATTTTCTATACAAATCCCATGGCCGTATTTATGTGGGGTTTTTTCCCCTCTTTTAATTCTCAGTGTGGCCAAATTATGGCTTAGCTTAGATTTAATTACAAAAAAAATGGATTGTTATTTGCATTGTTGCTTACCATCCCAGGTGTGTTATTTATGGACTAAATTTAATTTATTTACTCACCCTTTTACAATGAGAACGTAGCGGGGTCTCTGCCATTTCTGCTGACTTCACTTGCTTGCTTTAACCATCCTTTCCCATTAGAGATCACCGTTGAGTTTAAAGGCTGTAATCTGAAACCTTATGGCTTTAGTGGATACTTAAGAGGAGTCATTGATACACTTTGAAGCCAAGATATTTGAACAGCATTAGCAATAGCAGCATCCAGCCATTAGACCATTAGGGTCGTTTGTCAAGGCACTAAAATTAAATATAGGGTCCCTGGCAATACCTCGGTTCGATTCTGCAAGTTTAATGGCAGTGCAAGATTCTCTCTTCAATCAGCCCCTTCCATATATCATAACATCACTTGTTCTACATATCACTCAGGCGCAGAAGAGAAACTAGGGGGGAGATAACTTAAAAATTTAGGTGGGAGAAAGGTTATGATTTCCCCCGTGCTTAGAGCCGAAGGTTACATGATACAGCCATCATTGCCCTTGGTGTGTTATACTTTGTGTTTTATCCTCTCACTATTGAGGGTGTTCATATTGTTATAAGTTTGGGGAGGAGACCCCCCCCCCGCAAGAAATTAATAAATGGTAGGGTTTTGATTAGTTGGAGTATTGAAGGGACGATTGCAGGCCAGTTGAGCTTCTTTTGCAAGCCAAGGCCTCACCTGGGATAGAGGCACTAGCGTGACCAAAGGTGTTAAGGGCCCATCTAAGAGGAATCTTGGGTTTGGGCAGGCAGAGGTTGCCAAGGTGATAGGGTGTGTGAGAGAGAGGAGACAAGAAAAGAGTGTCTACGGCAAGGTGTGCTGGGAAGAAGAAGGGGAAGAACAAAGAGAGATCCATCTTGGGCAGGCTGGCTGAAGATAGTCTGGGAGAGATGCCTTAGACCCAGTGCTGCACCACTGTGGGGAACAAGCCCCTCTTGAGAGGACGATGCTGTAAGATCTGGACTCCCTCCATCCAAACCATATTTCTTAAAGTTATGACAGCCTCTGCCCCATCTTCAATCCTTCAAAGGAGCAGGGACCCTGGGTGAGGGCAAAACTCCTGGAATCCGATGCACTGTTTGGCAGGGATTGGGGTGACCGGTAGCAATATGATGACCCTTACAATGTAAATTTTACATGTTCAAAGGATAATGAAGGAGGAAGTGGTGTTTTGCCCTATATTCCTACTCCTCATCCATGCACTACCTTGCAGTAGTCATGGATTCAGCATCAGGATGTAAATCTGACTTCTTCTTTTATTTCTACAAAAATAAACATGCTTTCTCCTGCCCTGCTCTCCTCTTGCTCTAACTCCTTATTCCCAGGGGTTGTGTCACCTCTTGGTTGAGGGCGTGTTCTCTCAAACTGTCTTTTCTCTCTGTCTTTTCTTCCTGTTACTGACTTTTCCCTCCTGCTTGCTCTCCCATCTCAGTTCTCCTCTTGATACAGCTGGTGACTTCATGCCACTGTTGTCAAGCAGTGCCTGAATTATGGGGAAGAGGAAGGTAGAGGTGATCCAACCCGAGTTACCTTTTTGGATGGCCTCATCCAGTGCTTTTCTTCTAGAAAAAAAGGTGACCTTGAGTACCCCCAGGAAAAAAAAGCACTGGTCCCAATGGCTACTATTTGTAGAAGGTGGCTTAAGTTGAGATGTTTGATGAGTTAGGTTTGTAGACTTCATAAGACTTCCCTCCCTTTTCTCCCAAAATTCAAGCAGGGCCTTCTCAGTTGATAAAACTTAGCCACAACTAGGGACGGAAGGATCAGTCAATTTTGGTTCTTTCGACTTCTCATCTTTCCAATCTTAAATCTGGTTCTCCACATTTCTGGAACAATTTATGAATATTATTTTACAAAATCCTCATGAAAATTTCTCAACAAGCATGACATTCTCTTGATAAACACATTTTGGTATGTAGTCTTGACCAAAGTACACATTTCTGCAAGACGTTCTCCTTGTATTATGCATTTTTGTGTGTTTTCCTCATTGTTATGCATACTTCCCCCTAATATATGCATTTTTGTAAACATTCTTTATTTGTAGAGCTACATGGCAAATATTATAAAGGTGTGAATGTTGAAGGATGGCTGCTTTGTAAAGTGTAAAATTGATAGATTCAGCTTTAAATCCCCAATCCCTTGCCACAACAGTTCTCTACCTGGTAAGCAGTTCTCCACCTCTAATATGGAACATCTTCTTTCTTTGTGTTCTCTCTGTGGTGATGTGGAGATGAGCATCTTTCAGATCCGTCTAGGAGATATAATATGGGTCAAGCTCTTTCAGATGCAAAAAATAAATAAGTACAAATCTAGTTGTCATCATTGTCACGTTAGCAGATGCAATACTGAACATCTGCTAATCTGAGTTAGCGGATTTTCAGTGTAACATAAAAGTAAGGAAAGGCAGGAATACAAAAGGACCATGGTTTCTACATAACGTCTCTTCATAAATATGAGGAAAGCCAAAAGTATTGGAGGGAACTTTGTGATCAAGGATTTGTGAACTATGAACTAGAGAAAAACCCTCATGGTTATGCAGGTAGGAAAAATGATTTGGTTTTTTAATATATATACCTTTGCAGCTGCTGCAGACTTCCCCGGAATGAGTCCCAGGTGCTGAGTCCTTTGCCACTGTCAGCACTTTGGCTGTAGTGACAGCACCAGTCCTTCCTTTGCACTCCAGGCATACTTCAGCAATGGACAAGCTATCCAAAACACAACGCCCCGGCCCATAGATCATTTCATGGTGGCAGGTGGCCACCGTGCATGGAAACTGGGCTTGGTTCCCAATTAAAAACAGCACTAGCACCTGCCACTGAAAAGCATCTGGGGACCCAGAGGTAAGGTGGTGGTGGTTGAGTTTGGGTTAGTGATGGAGAATATGCAGTTCTCCATATGTTGGAATCCAACTCCCATCAGCCCCAGCCAACATGGCCAGTGGTCAGGAATTGTTTGTTTGTTTGTTTGTTTGTTTATCATCATCATCATCATTTATTATCATTTATTAGATCATAAGATCTCAGAGCAGTTCACAAAATAATGGGAGTCGCAGCTCAACATCTGGAGAGCCAGAGTTTTCCCATTCCTGGTCAATGGGTAGAGTCCACCAACACTGGCTACTTTTATGGTCTACTCACTCAAACATGAAAGTGTTAAGTGTGTACTTAAGGCTGTGTACATCTAAAGCCCATTTGAAGGACATTTCTCCCCTCAGAGAATTTTGGGCTCTGTGATTTGTTAAGTGTTGCTGGGAATTCTAATTCTGTGAAGGGACAACTACAGTGCCCAGAATTCTTTGAGGGAAGAATGTGCTTTGAATGTGCTTTAAAGGGACAGCGTGTCTAGATTTGCCGTTGAAATCAATCAAACTGGTCAGTAGACACTACAACCTTCTGTGAGCATCTCCTCTGAGACTTCACTGCTCCAACAAGCAGACCACTCAAGCAAGCAGTTATTTACGTTACTGAGCCCTGAAAAACAATATCTTCACTGTTTTCATGAAACTCATGTAGCCACATTCCACAGTCTCCATTGCAGTCTCCACTGCAATGGAAACACGTGTGGAAGTTAGCACGCGGGGATAAATAATTGTAATTAAAGTGTTGGGAATGTGTTGCTTCCTCACAACAAAAAAGCAGTCACTCAATGAAAAGGATCTAAATTCCCAGCAATCAACAAGTGTGAAATACAACGTGGAGAGTTTTCTTCTTCTTCGACGATATGTGTTACCCAGAGAGGCTTACAGCAGTTTCTCTAAACGGTAACAGTCCCTTTCCCTAGAGCTCGCATTCTATAAATTATTTTCATTCATTTGAAGCATTCCTCTACTGCTGCCCTTGAACGTATTGAATATCAGGGCAGTGTACTGAAATATGGAAAGGCTGATAGGAATGCTTCAAGGAGATATCGTTGAAGAAGAACTGATGTTTCAAAGTCATGAAGAATACATTCCTCCCTGAATGTGGCTTCTTCCTATAATTGCATCCTTATTGACGTTGTGAGCAGAGCTGGGTGCAGAGAGAGGCCTGGGGTAACAGCCTCCACCCCCCAGCCTGGGCGCATCTGATGCACTCAGTGTCCTGTTGTCACAATGAGCTCTGTCTCCTGACAAGTCCACCTACTGTAAATGGAGACTCTCTTTCCCATTAAAGCCTGCTCCTCTGGATATGTAACCCCTGGCTTTCCAGATGTTGTGGGACTACAACTCCTATCACCCCTGACTCTTGGCCATGGTGACTGGGGTTGAAGGAAGTTGAACAGCCAGGGCCGGTCCACCCATGAGGCAAGGTGAGATGACTGCTTCAGGCGGCAGGATCCACAGGGGCAGCAGATCCTGATGTAGATGTTTCTTCCCCCCTAGTTCCTGATGTAGCTCTTCTCTCACCCCTTCTTCCCTGGTGGGGAGAGGGGCACCACTTTGCTGTTTACCTCAGATGCCAAAATGTATTGGGTCGGCCCTGCTAATGACCTCTGGAGAGCCACAGGTTCCTGATCACTGCCCTAAGGTCAAGAGGGAAGAGCTTATGTTTAGATAACTTGGAATTGCTGAGTTACAGCCTGCTGGCCCAATAATGGGCACATTATTGGTACTTGGTGGGAGTGAAGAGGCTACACTAGTTCCTTATGAGAGATAATAGAGGATCATCTAGTCAAACCCCCTTCTCCATCTGTTACACAGGATGAAAGAGTCCATCCTTTGTTCACAATCAGCAATACTAGAGTTACAAGGAACATGCTTTGATTCTGAACTACATGGAAAGCTACACACTTGCAGCCTTTGGACTGCACTCAATGAAGACGCCTTGCATGTATGCTAGCAGCAGCCATGATGAGATAATGAATGATTCCTCTCAGCCTGACTGAATGAGCAGAGGCCAAAGCTTTGATGCTCCTTGTAGGTGGACAGGCAGGGACAGGTTGTGTGAATCCTTTATAACTAGTTCAGGCCCATCAAGAAACGGAGCTGGCAGTTCCAGCCTGGTTCTTTTTTAATGTCACAGTTCATTTGCAGAACCATAACTGGAATCAAGAATTAAAAAGCCCTGTGTAAAAGTCAGTAACATTAAACCTTTAAGACTTGTGTTTCATGTGTCATAAAAAGCCCATGAAAGGATTTTATATTCTGTACAGTGTTTTAGCGCTTTCAATCATTTCTCCCCTCCCCACCCCAACATAACTTTTGTGAACACTTTAATAGCCTCTAAATGAAAAACTAAACTATGTGTCATTCAAAATGGGAAAAAAAAAAGTTTTATGGATCACAGAATTTAATACAAGTTCTGGACCATAACAAGGAACTGATAAACGTATAACTGAAATTAATTCTAAATGCTGAAAAAAATATATTTTAGGAGTATATGTGCTCCACGTTGCAACAACGTAGGAGTGAAAGCATTTGCCCTATAGAGATTTTCTACAGTGGTAAAAAGAGCGCATTTGAACAGTCATTTCCATTAAGTGAGGTTTGTTCTTGTTTACGGTCCATCTGTTCCAACTCCTGACCTTCACCATTTGCATCCCATTATTGTTTCCAGTGTCCACTGCCAGCCTGCTGACTTATCCAGTGAACTCTTGCTACCCACAGATGGCTCCCTCTAATAATGGATATTAGAATATTTCTGTCAAACCCAACCCTAACTTCGCAGCTAAATCTGGAAGCTTTCTTCCACAGCTATGGCTGCCATCATCAATGTCTTTAGTCATCATATTTCAAATGGCAGAGCACATCAATGGCTACATTTTGTCACACTTTTGTGCTGTGTGGCCATCAAAGACCATGGTGTCAGCAGTCTAGCCAACATGGCACCCCCAGATGTCATTGGAGTCTAATTCCAATCATCCACCTCTTTGACCATGCCGGCTGGGGCTGCTAGGAGGTTGGGTTAGGGTCCCCAAAAAATCTGTAGAGCACCACATTGGCTATGCCTGTCTTAAGTTATCCTTTCTCTGGTTACATTCCATTTAGATCCCTGTTATGCGTTGTACACTAGGCTGCCAAATTACAATGTGAAATCACAACGGACACCTTCAAGGCATTTTCAGCAGACCTGGTCCTATCAGGCAGCTGATTTGGGGTACCCTGACAGGGCAACACATTCCTCATTTATTATCACTGTATTTTTTAATGTTGGGGCAGCAAGATTTTTTACCTCAGGATGCTGAATAATTCAACCAGCTTCATCTACAATCAGCCTTGACATGGTGTTGGGGAGGGGGTATCAATTAATTGCCTAGTTTTATGTTTCACTCTTAGTTCCTGTGTGCAAGCAGGAAGGCCAACAGGCCTGGCTAGTGCCTGAATAAACTGAGTGCGCACCTTGAACATGTCCCAGAATCCTTTGCGACACTATAGGTTCCATGACAACTTTTAAGGGGTTTCTCGGCAGAGACATTGATGTGGAAACTAGCTTCCCTTGAAACTGAAAAGTTTGAAATCCACTGCTTTATAACAATACAAATACAAACACTTACGAGAGGCTCTCAAAGCTGAGTTCTTTTAATGGCCTGTATCTGGGTTATGTCTGAATTTCTTTTGCATACATAATTTATTCTTTTCTTTGTTCTTTAATCTCCTGCATGTACAGCATCATTTCCTTTGCTGTAAAAATAATATATAGAGAGAGTGAATAATTATTGCAACACGCACACACCCTCAGACACCCACATCTTAATATAGGGGTGACAGTCACTGATCCTTTGGTGTCACTCTGGAAGTCTTAATGTGTTTTAAAAGTACTCGATCCTCGAGTGGAGAAGACTTTGTAGTTGATAAATAAAGGTACAGAGGGTATGTATATATTTTCAGCTAAGTTCTGAGCCAAATCAGGCCTATCCGGAGGGATCCAAACGGGCATCGGTTGAGTCGGGTTGAGACAGACCTGGATCACTATGGGTTGGACAGCCCAGAAAGATCCAGGACTCGCATGGGGCGGTGCGTCAGCCAGGAAGGATATGGCAGGAAGGTGACACAATGAAAGAAGAGTCCTACTGAGTGGCTGCATCTTCACTGGAGAAGTTGGAGTGCCTTTTCTAGCTGGCCTTTCCTCCTCCCCACCAAGCTTATCCTTCTTCCAGCCTCCTGAATCAGCACCACACAGGATTGAATCCTCTGTTTACTAGCCTTGGTCTGCGAGGAGCTCCACTGGATAAGCCTGGTGGCTACCAAGGTATGGCAGTAGAGGAGGTGGGGCCATCCCATTCCTACTTTGCCACCTCAGAAGACGGCAGCGGAGGTGCAGAGTTCTGTTGCCACCACTGTGCAAACACCCAGCTGCTGAACAGATAGCCACCTCAGTGCAGGGGCAAGCTGCATCAGGACAACCATCCTCCCAGAAACCACATGTTTCCACCGCTGCTGCCTCCTAATGTGGAGAAGCAAGAGGAGGGATGGCCTCACCCCTTAAGAACCTAGGAAGAGTTCTGCTGGAGAAGACCAGTGGCCCAACTAGTCTAACGTCTTTTTCTCACAGTGGCCTATGCCAAGCCCACAAGCCGGGCCTGAATGCAACAGCCATCTTCTCATCATCTCCCAGCAAGAGGCATTTCTGAGGCATAGCGTCTCCAACGGTGGAGGTCAAGCACCACCTTCTGTCAGCAAACAATTGCCTTTCCAGCAGCCATTGTTCTCTCCCATTCCTTTCCAGGTGGTATTTAACACCTGTCAAACTGGCCAAAATGTTCAGATCTAGGCCAAACACCTGTTGGAAATGCAGGGAGGCAGAAGGCACATTGATCCACATGTGGTGGAACTGTAAAAAGATCAGAGAATTTTGGGAGATGATCTATAATGAACTTTAAAAAATGTTTAAATGCTCTTTCCCCAAGAAGCCCAAAGCCTTCCTGCTAGGAATAATGAGTAATGAAATCTCAAAGAAATTTGGGAGAGTTTTCATGTATGCTACAGTAGCAGCCAGAATTTTAATTGCAAAGGGTTGGAAAGGAGAAGCTATCCCATCCAAATTAGACTGGCAAAACCAGTTGCGAGAATATGCAGAACTAACCAGATTATCAGCAAGGTTCCGAGATGTTACCAATGAAAAATTCAATAGAGAGTGGGATGTATACAGAGTTTATTTAAAAGAGCATTGCAAAAATATAAATTGCAAGGTCTGGATTAACTTTCTGCATGTAATGGGAGAATCTTATAAAATGAATGTAATTGAAACAACCTAGAGGAGACAAAGTTTAGTGTTCAGATAAAGAATGCAATCTGGGAATCACAATTGGGGGGCGGGGATGGAGGTCATGTTGAACCCAACTACAAATTGCTACATACAACAAGCACCAACTATGGAATGAATGTTTGTTTACTTTTTCTTTTTCTTTTCTGTTGATTCCTTATGTTACACAGTTTTAAAAACCAATAAAGCATATACAAATCCTCTCCAGGTCTGCCGCCTCAAACTTCTCTCCCAGATTCTGGCTGTGCGCACTGTACACATTTAAAGCCCATAACTTCCCCAAAGAATTCTGGGAACTCAAGAATGCTGGGAATCGTAGCCCCATGAGGGGTACACTACATTTCCCATGATTCTTTGGGAAGGGGGAAATGTGCTTTAAGTGTTTGGTGCATAAACAGCTGCTGCTTACTTCCCTACCTTGGGCTCTTCCTCCCCTTTGTCTCTGCCTCATGTAAATAACAACGTTAAGTTTGCTACTTGCAAAGTTGGAGCCCAGTAGCTTTTGATGAGTAGTTTGGCTCCACCTCAGTGCCATGCATCTCTTGAAGGCTAACCCCATATTATTTGCAGATTATTCACAGCCATTATATGTTAACGGAGCCAGCCTTAACCTTCGCCACACTTTCAAAGTTTCTTGTACACATGCCAGTTTCCCCTGCATGTTTTGACAAATGAGATATTCCCTCTGGTGCTTCCTTGTGGGTAACAGCGTGTGAGGATGTGTGGTGGCGGCAGCCACAAAATTTATTACAGTTATTTTGTAGTTTGATATTAAAGAACATGATGTATTATATCAGGTGTCTGACCTTTAAAGATCTTAGGACCCAATTCATTACAACATAAAATTTACATATTATTCAACGGCCTCGCGGACCTTTTATGAAGAAATTGTAGCGCAGATGTACATGAGATTTAAGGCAGAAAAAGTAGCCCTGCAAATGAAGAATGGGGAACTGCATGAAATACTAGGCTGCCAGGAAGGTGGGAGGGGAGAGGAAGCCTGTAACCTCTTGAAATCATTACTCTCAGGAATAATGCTTGCATCCCTTTCTTCAGAAATATTCTGGAAAATAAGGAGCAGGCAAGGAAGGAAACGGCGAATGAGTTGCAAGCAATTTCTCTCTTTCTTGCATAGCATTAATTAGAAATGCTACATAGGACGTTTCCAATAGTGGAAACTTTTGGGAGACATTTTGTGGGTATGCCCCACAGAGAAACTTACGGTCTTGAAATAAAAACATCCTGAAGGTCCCAGGCCACAGAGAAGTTAGGCTGGCCTCAACTAGAGCCAGGGCTTTTTCGGCTGTGGCTCCGATCTGGTGGAACACTCTGTCACAAGAGACCAGGGCCCTGCGGGACTTGACATCTTTCCGCAGGGCCTGCAAGGCAGAGCTGTTCCACCAGGCCTTTGGCCAGGGCACAGCCTGACTCCCTCCCTCGGCAATCTTCGCGGAGCTCTGGCCCAATGGTTGCCAGTGGCTTGAATTAATAATTTTATAATGAATGATTTTAGAGTGTTGTTTGTGTTGTACTTTTGTACTGTTTTATTGTTGTTAGCCGCCCTGAGCCCGGCTTCGGCTGGGGAGGGCAGGATATAAATAAAATTTATTATTATTATTATTATTAATTGTGTCACCAGTCCTGAAAGCATTGCACTACTGGGCTCAGGTGAAGGCACTATTAGTACAGTGGTACCTCTAGTTGCGGACTTAGTCCATTTCAGGGTGCCATTCGCACCCCGCAAAGTCCACAACTGGAACGCCTCTTCTGCGCATGTGTGCAGCACGATTGAGTGCTTTTGTGCATGCACGAAGCGCACAGATCGCTTCTGTGCATGCGTGGGTGGCGAACCTGGAAGTAAACACTTCCGGGTTTGCCACATTCGTA